ACCTGCTGCAGTGAGTTCATCTGCCTGGGATTTTACACTGCAAACCTGCTGCAGTGAGTTCATCTGCCTGGGAGTTTTATCTTCACTGCAAACCTGCTGCAGCAGGTTCATCTGCCTGGGATTTTTATCTTCTGTATTTTTTTCAATATTATCTGGGGGGTGTGTGCTGGTAGACTGTCTTCCCCGTGCAAACTCCTCCATAGAGAATCCAAATGAAAGTTTTGGTGGGGAAGAGCCCTGCAGTCAGAGAACAGCCAGCAAGGAGCTATGGAGTGACTCAGGGAGTACCTGTGGATGCCGAGGCTTGGCTTTGTTTTAATTCATGTAGCCACAGCAAAGGGTAAGATTTTGTAACATGCATCCCAAGAAGTCTGACTCTTTTTCTGGAACAGTAAATATTTGTGAAATCCAGCTTCACAGAAGGCAGCAGCAGAGTTACAGGAGGTACAGAATGCCTTGCTCTCAGTTTTTTTGGCTACAGGAGCCCTCACTTACACTAAATAATTCATGGCCTTGCTACCTGATCGTGCTTCTGTGGCTCTTCTTTGAACAATAAAGTGGAACAGGGAGGCTTTTAATCAGCTCTGGTATTCCAGAAGTTGTGCTGCAAGGTGTATCTGTTACATCAGAGCTCAGTATATGGTGCCAGGGCTGATTAGCCCATTAACATCATTTCAGTGTGTAGTTGGGCTATTTTGGGTAAACAGAAGGAAGAAATGCTGAATGGAATTTCTTTTGTCTGTGTTTAGGTGCTGGCCCTTCTTGTGAAAGGTTATTTCCCTATGGCTCAGAGCTATTTCCTGGGACTTGGAGAAGTGGCTTGCAGATGCATGGAAGAAATGGATCCATCCATTCAGCTCCATGGAGCCAAGGTAGGAGCAGGAGACACGTCACCATTGTGTTACCAAGTCAGTTTTATCTGTCTGGGTGCTTTGCAAATGCAGATGAGTGGTGCTGAATATTCACAGCATCTGTGAGTGTGATACAGAAATGCAGTAGCCTGACACTTTGAGAAATGCACCCTCAGCTTCCAGTCTTGAAGTCTCAGCAGAATTTTGCTGCTCTGCTGAGTCACCAGGAAGCTTGGGAAGTGCAAGGACCACAGCACTGGTGCTTCCCTGGCTGAGCATCAGCTGGGGCAGGGACTGGGTTCTGTGACCCAAAGATTTCCCCTTTGTGCAGTGGTTTGTTATGCTGTGCTTGCTGGAGAGTTTATGTAGGAAAGGCTTTTCCTCTAATTCCAGTACTAGCAGGGACAGCACAGCCCAAACCAGCACTGAACCTTTGCTTTTTGTTCCCTGGTGAGTGGGTGCAGGTTCTGTGGCTCCTGATGAAAACCCCCTTGCTTTTTGTTCTCTGCAGCTTCTGGAGGAGCTGGGCACGGGTGTCCTGCAGCAGCACAAGCCTGACTCTGCCACTGCCCCTGAGCAGAGGGTGCCTGTCAGCGTGGTGAGTGTGAGATTCCCCCTCCCTGAGCTCCTTGCCTGCCCTGGCACACACACAGACACAGAATTGCAGGGAGGCAGGAGGGGGCTCTGGCTGCAGCTCTGTGGGTGCCACTATGGGCAGTCTGCAGGCTTCCTGCATCATTTGGCACTTGTTCCTGTCTTGGACAGATGTCTTGGGGTTTATTTCTTTACATGGTGTTAACCCCGTGTCTTTGCCTCTCCTCTTCCCAACTCTTGCTGTAGCTCAGAGCTGGAAGAACAGCACTGATTTGGTGTGTGTCATTAGTGCTGCATAAAACTTCCAGAATTTTGGTGAAGTTGCGTTGTTAAAGTGCCAGCCTGGTCACAAGTACAGAGAGAGTGGCCAGAACCACAGTATAAGTGAATTTAGAGAAATTCATTAGCTGTTTGTTGGCTGAGTTTGCAGAAGTTGAGTAATATGGGCCTGTTTAAGTCTTTCTTCTGTGAGCAGGAGACAAGCTTCAAAATTTCTTTGGCTCATGCTAAGTTTTGAGCCTACAAGACAGGAAATGTGTTGAGTAGCATCAGGTTCCTGTTACTTGCTATGAATGTAGATTGTCAGGCAAATGGAAACACTCAGCTGTGTGGATTCAGGAGTGGGATTGCAACTCTATTTAAAGCAGTGTAAATTTCAGCATATGATGATCATCTTTCAGACAAGAAGTGAGGCTTAATTGCTGAGTTTAGAAGATAAACCTGGCTGCTTCTCCTGCAGGTTGTGACCTTCTGGACAATGATGTTGAACGGGCCCTTGCCTGGCACCCTGCAGAACTCCCCCCATGCCACTCTCCAGACAAGTGCCTGTGATGCCCTGTCCTCTATCTTACCAGAGGCCTTCAGCCTCCTGCAGGTAAGAGAACACACCTTTGCATGTGGTGCTTTCACCTTTGAGGCTTTGTCCTTGTCCACCAGGTTACAGTAGTGTAAAGCCTTTGAAAACTTGCCAGGAGAAAGTAAAGAAACCTTCCCCATTTTTATTTTTCTTTCTGAACGTTGTGACTGTTGGAGGCTGGAAAGGGCAGTGTTGGGAGTAATCAGCCTGTCAGAACAATTAACTGTGGGTCACAGCAGCTGTTTGGCCCTGCCATGAACACCCAGCCTTGGCAGTGATGCACAGGAGATGGAGGACAGGGATTTCGTGGCATGAGGGAGAGCTGAGGGATTGTTATTCTGCTGATTAATCCTTTGAAGAGCTAGCTGAGCCAATAGCCAGGGCCTGATGTTGTGCACCCATTTGCATGTGTGCTTTTTTCCCTTTGCAACATGAAATATGCTTTTAAACATGAAAGCCTTGGCAGTGGATCCCCCCTGCATTGTGCAGCTCCTTCTGTGTCACTGTGCCCTTGCTGGAGAGTGCTCTGCCAGATCTCATTTGCCCAGGAATTGCTGCTCCAGCAGTATCTCTGGAATTCTCCAAGTACAGCGTGTACTTCACCCCCCTGTACTTTGATCCCATTCCCTCTCCTGTCCCTGTGGCCAAGTGGGGTCAAGCCAGTGCCCACTGTGACCTTCTGTCATGGGCTGGTGAGCTGACAACCTGGCCAGCTGAGCTCACCCTGTCCTGGTTAACCAGGGGCACACAGGGAGGGGAGGCAGGGGCAGCCCATCCTCTGAGTTAGCTCTGATGGGCCATTCCTGCAGCTGGGGATGAGAGCAGGACTCTGATTTCCTTCTTGCTCTCACCCAACAGCAGAGATCTGTGTGTTGGAGGCATTCCTGTTTCCTGGAATCACTGCTCAATCCACTTTACCCAGAGCATGCTCTGAGTGGAGGCTCCTGCAGACACAGGGAGTTGGAGAGAATTTGTGTGTCC